GGGTGTTCATTGGAAGGACTGATGTTGAAGCTGAAACTCCTATACTTTGGCCACCTGATGCGAAGAACTGATTCACTTGAAAAGACCCTCTGATGCTGGGAAAGATTGAAAGCAGGAGGAGAAGGGGAAGACAGAGGATGAGATGGTTGGATGGCATCACCGATTCAATGGACATGAGTTTGAGTAAATTCCAGGAGTTGGTGATGGACAGGGAGGCCTGGCATGCTGCAGCCCATGGGGTAGCAAAGAGTTGGACATGACTGAGCCAGTGAACTGAACTGAACTTTGTAGCATAATTGAGTTTCTTCTGAGCGATAATATACAATATGTATCAGGTAGGTTATTTTCAGCTACTAAGTTACAAAAAACCCAGGTCAAATTAACTTCAACTATTCCTGGGCTGGAAAGATCCCCTGGAGAAGGAAATGGCAACCCACTCCAGTACTCTTGCCTGGAAAATTCCACGGATGGAGGAGCCTGGTGGACTACAGCCCATGGGGTCACAAAGAGTCGGACATGATTGAGTGACTTTACTTTCACTTTCATAAAGGGATTTATTATCTCTGTAATAAGATATCCTATGGCAGGATTAGTTCATTCAGAGGCTGAGTGATAACATCTTTCTGTTCCATCATCATCACTTTACTGTGTAAGCCACTCCTTTTGGGGGTGATGCAGGAGACCCAGGTTCGACCCCTGGGTCAGGAAGATCCCCTGGAGAAGGGAATGGCAACCTGGCAGGCTACAGTCCATGGGGTCACAAAGAGTCAGATACAATGGAGCGACTGACACTTTTCACTTTTAAATGAATCAATAGATGGCTGGCCAACAGTGCATAAGGATAGGGTACTTGGAGCCATGAGAGCCATTTGCCAACCCAGAGGGACTAACAGGACAGAATAATAATTCAATCAGTGTAACAGTGGTCAAGGTTTGTGATGGAGATGCTAACTGTCCACCCAAATCCACTTTTCCCTTTTTGCATGGTCAGAGAGTGGTAGTTAGGCACATGGAGGCCTAGATGGGCACTGCTTTTCTGTTCTTCCTAGAGTCAGGTGAGGCTTTGAGCAAACATTGTCCTCCATGGAATTGCACCAGGTCTTAGTTGCAGCATGCGGGACCTTTCAGTCGCAGCATGTGGGATCTAGTTCCCTGACCAGGGATCAAACTCAGGCCACTTGCGCTGGGGGCTCAGAGTCTTAAGCTACTGGACCATCAGGGAAGTCCCGTGGGTCACCATTCTTAATAGCAACAGGAATGTCCTTTCTTCTTCCTTTCTCCAGACTGGAACCCAAATGTGGCAGTGACCCAGATATCAACAGGGAATGATTGAGCCACAAGAGGGAAAGAACATGAGTTCCCAAATGGCTCCATGGAGCAGAGCCCAACATGGACTATTATGTGCATAAAATGTACACTTTGCTTGGTAGTGGTATGTGGGCTCTTTCCTTGCGGTGTGCAGACTCTCCAGCTGTGATGTGCAGGCTGAGTAGTTGAGGTATGCAGGCCTGCAGGTATGAGTTGACTAGATGCTCCTTGGCAGGTGAGATCTTAATTCCATGACCAGGGATCAAACCCATGTCCCCTGCATTGCAAGAGCAACTTCTTAATCCCTGGACCACCAGGGAAGTTCCACACTTTGTTCTTAAGTCATACAATTTTGGAAACTGTTGTCATATCAGGTCTTTTTGTTTTATTTCTATCCTAGTTAACACAGACATAGATAAACAAACCAATAAAACAGAATAGAGAGCCCAGGAACATATTCATATCTATATATAGAAAAATGGCATATGTTAGAGATATCACCACTAATCACTAGGGAAAGAAAGACTGTTTAATAATAGAGCTGTAACACATCATTCACAAAAATAAAATGGAGACGTTTTACTGACCTAGACATGAACAACAATTAGAGGAAAATGTTTTGCATAACTGNA